TGAATTTTGCCAAAAACCCAAAATGAGCCAAAATACAGATCTTCCCCTGAGCCTCCAGAAAGGAATGTAGCCTTGCTGACAACATGTTGGTTTTAGCCCAGGGAGACGTGTTTCAGACTTCTGACATAAAGAATTGTAAGACAACAAGGTTGTGTTGTTTTAAGCCACCAAGTTTGTGGTAGTTTGTCACAGCAGCCACAAGAAACTGATACAACTGCTTGCTTCCTTTATTCAAGTTAAGTACATTTTCCTGATGCCTAGTCACAAAGGGAAGTGCACAAAATTGTCCGAATCTTTCTCCTCCTTCTCCTACATGGAAAGAAAAGCAAAAAATGCACACCACCCTATAGGCTATGAGGCGAATCTGGATTGCTCTCTGTGGCTGGAACCAGACCCCAGGGTCAGTGGACAATCTCAGTATGGAATCCAAATGCCATGGTTTGTCCAGAACTGGACTAAATGGTCTTGAACATAGAGAAACAACCTACCAGTGACTTATTTTCTATTTGTCTCCTGTGCAGGGACTATGAGAAAAATGGACGGCCATTTTATACCTGGTGATAATCTCTAGATTTATGGGCAATAGCAATGGCATATATTTAATTTCAGAACAAAAATCTTTTGCTAAACAATAGGTTATTCCCAGGTTGATTTATTCTCAATTGTGAGCAGTAATTTTCTAAAATTCAACTTCTTGTTTGATACATGGAAACACAATAAAATGCTTTGTCCATATTTTCAGTAGAAAATGTTTAAGAATAAGACAAATGAGGCAAACAAAATGTAATTCAAATGTATTCAATGAAGCATGGTTATTTTCACATTTTATTTCTTTTAATACTCTTTCTTCAGTTATATTAATAGCCTCTGCATTTCCCTCCTGTCGTCTGTGCCTCAGGTTTTGTTTACTTCGTCTTTTCCTCTTTTTATTTCTATGACATGTTGCCACTAGCCTCCTCCAGCAGAGGGAGGAGGGGTGTGTCCAACAGGGCTGTGTCCACAGGGTCAGAGGGTCTCCTGACTCAGAAGGCTGGCTACCTCATGGGTGCCAGGCTCCAATAAAAGCCAGGGTCCCCCCTCCATATGCGGGGTGGGGGGAGGGTAACAAAGATTATCTGGCAAACTATGCCCTACAGCTTCTTCCTAACATACATGAGAGTTAGAACAAAAATATGTTAATGACTTCAAGTGGTTAAGAGATTATCTTAACCTGAAGAAACAGTTTGTGGAGAACAAAAGTGACCTGATCATAGGTCTCAGGCAGAAATTTCTTCCCTAGCTCAGGAAAGGGTAGAGTAATAGCATTTGCATCATCCCGAGTTGGTTTGACTTCCTTCTTAGGAACTGCCAAAGTCAGAGGGCTTCAGGCCAGCCTGCTCCATCGCCTTCCAGGCAGAGACCTGGTCTGTCTGCTTCCCAGGTCTAACAGCGTCTGGTACCTAGGATATACTCCATAAACACGAGTAGGTGAATGGTTTGAGATCCAAGTCTGAGCTCTTATCTTCTGCATCTTTTTTCTTAGCTCTGAAAGAGTCTAAGCTTTGTAGTGGTGCCTGAATGGGCTAAGGGTCCCACACTCCCCAACCTTACTGTCATTTCCTAAAGGCAAGAACTATGTACTCCTCTATCTCAATTTTAGCATCTAGCTGTGTTTTTTCTTCTTCTTTCTTAAATTATTTAAGAGGGACTTCCCTGGCAGTCCAGTGGTTAAGACGCCATGCTTCCACCACAGGAGGTATGGTTTCGATCCCTGGTCAGGGAACTAAAGATCCCAGAAGCCAAAAAAAAAGAAAAGAAAAAAATGTATATACTTAACCAACACTTATTTTGCAACAGGCACTCTTCCAAAAACTTTACAAATAGCAACTCATTCAATCATCATGATAACCCTATGAAATAGGTTCTATTGTCACCCCTATTTTGCAGATGAGGGAACAGAGGAACAGAGAGCTTATGTAACTTGCCCAAAGTCACACAGCTAAATGGTGGAGCTGGGATTTCATCTGTACAGGCTGGATCCAGAGTCTGTGCTCCACACACACACTACGCCTTACCTTGCTGCCTCATCTTGCCAGTGTTAGAATGACGGAGGAAAGAAAAAATTTGGAAGCTAACTTCACAGAAAACTGGGAAGGGAGCAATATTTATACAAAAGAAGTCCAAATGAATGGTATGTTTCCAAATACTTCACGCATAGTGTGTTGACACTATATGAAACGTAGTCATAAAAATCTAGGCTGATTTGAATACCTAACTTGAAAGATGTTGTTCCTTGGCTTAAAAAAGATAACACTATCAAACTGTGAATCATTTGAAGTTCTCAAAAACATGACACTGACTTCCAACCAAATGAATAATTACTGTACTCACTTAGTAGGAAATTATACAAACACACAACTGGTTAAAAAGTTCAAAATTCAGTTATCCTCGTAGCCAGTTGTACTAGCTACGGCTGCCGTAACAAAGTACCACAAACTGCCTTAAATAAAAGAAATGTATTGTCTCACAGTTCTGGAAGCCAGATGTCCAAGATCAAGGTGTCAGCAGGGTTGGTTTTATTTGAGGGCTGTGAGGGAAGGCCTCTCTCCTTGGCTGGTAGATGGCTGGCTTCTCCCTTTGTGTCTTCAGATCATCTTCCCTCTATGTGTGTCTGTCTCTGCATCCAAATTTCCCCATTTTATAAGGACCCAGTCATATTGGATTAGAGTCTACCCTAATAACCTCATTTTAACTTGATTACCTCTATAAAGACCCTACCTCCAAATAAGGTAGGGGTTTTAACTCCAACTTATCCATTTTGCAGGGGACACAATTTAACCCGTATCAGCAGGGGGTAAGAGTCCTGTCTGAATTCTAGCTCTGACATTTATCAATTTTGAGGCCCTGGCATACCTCATTTCCCTCCCTTAAATGAAGATAAAACAGATAGTATCTACACCATGCTGTTGTGAGGATTAAGTGAATTAGTACATGTAACACATAGAATACTGAGTAGTACAATGTATGTTAGATATTCGTCAATTCATCAAAGAGTTTGAACACCTATTAAGTACCAGGCACTGTTCTACGTGTTTGAGACACAGGTATCATCAAAACATGCAAAAATACCCACGTTTGTGGATCTCATAATTTAGTGGGGAAAGAAAAAAAATACAAATAGAACACATAGAATATCAGACAGTAATGTGTTATAGAGCAAAATAAAGCAAGACAGTGGCTAGAGAGCATTGGGGGTTGCAATTCTGGATCAGAGAGGGCCTCACAAATTTGTCATTTGATCAAGGACCTGACGAATGGGAGGAGACAGTTAAGTGCTTATCTGGAGCTTTTAGATAGAGAAGGGTTTCCCCACTTCAGCACTACTGACATTTGGGGCTGGATTATTCTTCTTTGCGGGGGTGGGCGGTGGGGGGGGACTGACCTGTGCATTGCAGGATGTTTAGCAGCATCCCTACTAGATGCTAGTAGTGGCGAGTAACATCTGCTACCCCAGTTGTCACCACTCATCCGACAACCAAAGATGTCTCCAGACATTGCCATATGTCCTGTGGGGGACAAAATCACTGCTGTTTGAGAGCCACTGAGACAGCAAAAAAGTAAAAGCCCAGGGGCAGGAGTGGGCTCAGCTTGTTTGAGGCACAGCAAGGAAGCAGGCAATAGGAGATGAAATTAGAAGGGAGAAGGATGAACCACACATATCATCTATGACCTTGAGGCCAGCAGATGGGAAGCTACTGGAGGGTTAAGAGCAAAAAGACAGCACAACTTGAGTCACATTTTAAAAATAATTCCAGTTGGCTGCCACACTGAGAATTGCCTGTAGGTACAAAGACAGAAATGGACACCTCAGCGGGGAGGCTATCACAGTAATCCTATTATTGGCTTATTTACTTTTTAAAAAAAAATTTAATTTGGTCACTGATTTGCCTGGATGGTCATGGGACTACTGAGAGAATTGAGCTAAGATCTGGGGAAGAAAAGAGAAAGGAGAATTAGCACAAAAGGAAAAGGCTAAGAGTGGGCAAGGTAGCTTTTCACCGAAGTGTAAGGCAGTACTGTAAAGTCAATTTGAAAGAGCAGAGGGGTTGCACAGGACAAAGAGAGAATGTTGGGGCAAGTCTGTGCACAGGGCCAGTGAATGCTATACTAAGGAATGGGAGCTCTGGTCTGTAGGGAACGGAGAGCCTTTCAAGCTTAAGCAACCAGGAAAACTCTGCAGCAGGGTGCAGATCACAGGAGTAAGAAAGAATACTTTCAAAGGGAGTTTCCTGAAATAATACGGGCGAGCGGTAACAAGAGCCTAAGTTTAGGTGGAGGAGGAGCATGAGCACGACATTCTGAAGGAAGCAAAGTGAAGTTCTGCCCAAAGATTTGGAATTACCTTCTGCAGGGTAATTTTGCTTGCAGGCAAGCGCGCACTACTGACTTCGCGGCCGGGGTCTGGAAAAGTTTCCATGGTATCAGAGACCAAGCAAACGCCAAGCCCACCATGAAATGGTTTAAGCGGTGTAGGGCAGGCCTTTCTTGGAAATGGTGTCCCCAGAGGAGGGTGTGTTAAGTTTCTTCAAGGGTCTTTTCAAAAAGACTCCTATCTGTAAGTGAGAAGAACTATGCCGAGTACTGACAACGAAAGGAAAAGTAGGTCTGCAACCAAAGAGTTCTTTCAGGATGGTCGAGCATTTCAATTTCTAGATTTAAAACGTCTCAGCAGGTTTAGCAGAACAGGGTAGGTACATCAAACCAGTCCCGCTACTTTTTAGGTGGGAGCAACAAGGCCGCCTGCCCCCTCCTTTCGAGTACGATTTCCAAAGGGACCTCACAAGACTCACCACCCTCTTTCTACCCAGTTAACAGAGGCAGTGGGCGGCCGCCCAGCAGTGAGCAGCGGCTGCTAGCGCCGCCACCGAGGGTGTGGCGCTCACCGCGGACCGCGGGAGGGAGAGGGGGCGGCGCGGCTGGGCGGGGCGAGGAGGGGGGCTGCGGGGCGCGAGCGGAGGGACTCGGGAATCGTCCGCCTCCAGCCCCGCTCGGCGCCGCCCCAGTCACCTCGCTCTGCGGCCACCCGGCACCAGGAGCAGTCCCAGGCGGCGGCGCGACGGTCCCCGCCATGTCTGCAGCCATGAGGCAGAGGTTCGACCAGTTCCTTCACCAGAAGAACTGCATGACTGACATCTTGGCCAAGCTCGAGGCCAAGACCGGCGTGAACCGGAGCTACATGGCCCTCGGTGAGTGTGGGGCTGCGGCCCGCGGGATCCCGCCGCTTGCCCGGCCCGGGAGCGGCTGTCGTATCGCAGCTGGGACCACGGGCTCGGTGACAGACGGGGGTGAGTGGCGTCGTCGGGGACAGAAGTGGCCGCCTGGACAGGCCAAGGACCAGAGACCTCGCCCGGGGCGGCCCGGTGGCGGGGCGCCGCCCGGGACGTGGGGCCGGGGACCGGCCGGCGCTGACGTGTCTGCCCTGCGGCCCAGTGTCGTGTGCCTGTGGCCGAGCGCAGAGCTGACGCCGAGTGGCGGGGTCCCTGCTGGAGGGAGCGCGGTCCCCGTGGCGGAGTACCGGGTCCCAGCCAGACCCTCCGCGGAGTTGGGCGCGGGACGGGAGGGGCTGCGGGCAGGCGCCGGAATCCCGGCCTGCCCAGACCCTCCGGGAAGGAAGCGGGGCTCCTGCAGCTGGTGCGCAGCGTGGCGTGGGGCCCCTTGCGGGAGGGACGGGGGAAGGAAGGGCACAAAGGTGCGGCCTGCCAGTATCCCCAGACCAAAGGCAAAGCCCTGAGAAGGCGCGGGCCCAGCCTCGGTGCGGTTTTTCTCCAATGCCTAGAACGGGCCAAGCTTTGCGGTGTTGGCGGGGGCTGCCCGGCTGGAGCGCCTGTGTGCCACCCGACCCACTTCCCTCCTCGTGTCTGCAGGTGTCATCGGGCTGGTGGCTTTGTACCTGGTGTTCGGTTATGGAGCCTCTCTCCTCTGCAACCTGATAGGATTTGGTTACCCAGCCTACGTCTCGTAAGTGGCTCCCCCTGCAACCGTCCCTTCCTCCCCTTCACTCCCCTTCCCCCATCCAGAGCTGTTCTGGTTGCTGTACCATCCCCATTTCCCTGGGAGAGTGGTCAGAGGACCAAAGAGTAGTAACTGACTGCTTAAGGTTACATATTTTAGAGCTTTACCTTGACACCTGATCTCCCGATGACTAGCCGAAATGTATATTTCATCAGGTTAAACTGGCGGAGTGTATGCCTTCTAACAGCTGCACAAATGAAAGGCAGAGCAAAGTCGACCTTTACTGGTGAGACGCTCTCAATGGGTACAGAGAGCCGATTCTTTCTCCCTAATAATTATTTCAGTGTGTATTTCACCTTATATTTATGTACACAGTAAATCCCCATCAATTAGAGCTTCTTTAATTCAGAAGTAATGTTAATTCAGACACTGGGGAGAATTTTGCCTTCTTTATATTAAAAAGGCTCGCCACTTATTACAGGCAAACGGGAAACACTTACCCTAGTATAAAAACAAAAACAAACCTTATAAAATGCATCCCTAATATATCTCCTTGGTTATATAAATGACCCATTTATATAATTAATCTAAATTGCAAGTGAATCTTATCAGATTACGATCTGACTTTTCTGCTAGCTGAGGCTGTTTTTACTCTACAGTGTGTTTAATTTGAAAATATCCTACAATTTCATTTTTCCATTCATTCAATAGGAATTATGCTTCCCGACAAATAAATTTTGTTGTATTCTACAGTTCTTTGCAAGAAAGCTGGTGGGTTTTACTTCTATTGAATTGGTCTGTACAACTTTCCTCAACCACAGGGATTAAAAAAAAAGGAAGAAAATATTTCAGCTGGAAGGCTAAGACACCAATAACACATTATTACGACTGTGTCTATCATAGGCCCGGCTAGAATTTAATATATGACTAGAAAGGGGAAATGTGTTTTAGAAAAAGTTCTGACTTGAAAAATTAAATCGAAATTACATAAGTAGTAATTACTGAATTAGTCTGGTACAGACACTTAGTGGCTCCAGAAAATCTAGCTACATATAGGACACTACTTGCTTTTGAATTTGGAGATTCTCTCCAGCATTATCGTCTAAAGTACCATCCACACTGTTTGTGTATACCAAACAGTTCTGAAGACAGACCAGAAAAACTGGTTTGACTTTCAGATCAATGAAAAAGTTATAAGAATAGCAGTTCTCCATAAAATAATAGATGGTGTAGATAGAAAGTTTGTAGGCAACACTGGTTCAAAATGGCTTGCACATCACTGTGTCTGTGATAATGGACAAAATAACCAGGTAGAACATTCCTTTACTTTTCTTATGTTTGTGTATTCTACTTGTAAGAGTTCTTTTAGTAAGAAAGATTTTGAAGCATTTTTCAAGTTTGTGCTTCAGATCTTACCACATTTAATAACTGCCTAGCTGCTTGAATTGTTTTGAGCTAGGGAAGACTGTGGATCTTTAAAAATACTGAAGAGCATAAAAAACATTTTTTCCACATCAGTGCTATTTGGTGAGTAATCTTGTGAGAAACATAACCTTGTCTGTTGGTGTGATTAGATGATTGATATGGGCTTTAGAAAAGTAAAAATCTGTTTCTGGGTGGGATGTGTAGATCCATGTATGTGGAAGTGGATGTGACTGAAGGCAGACAGGGCTTGGACATGCTTTTCTTTGACCTAGTGGATTAATTCTAGCAGGAGCCACTTTGTCTGTCTGTTTTTAAATTAATTTTTATTAGAGTATAGTTGCTTTACAATGTTGTGTTAGTTTCTGCTGTGCAGCAAACTGAATCAGTTATACGTATACATATACCCACTCTTCTTAGATTTCCTTCCCATTTAGGTCACCATAGAGCATTGAGTAGAGTTCCCTGTGCTATTCAGTAGGCTCTCATTAGTTATCTGTTTTACACATAGTAGTGTCTGTATGTCAATCCCAGTCTCCCAGTCCATCCCACCTTGCCTTTCCCCGCTTGGTAACCATAAGTTTGTTCTCTACATGTGACTCTTTCTAGCAGGAGCCATTTTTAAAGTCATATTTTAAAAGTAATTTCAAGCAAGTCAATTTCAGTTTTTTATCATTTGTTTGAACTCATTCTTTCATTCATTTTCTACATAGTCAATTGAATATTATTGGCTCTCTTTATTTACAAGAAGCTAAGTGTTCATGTCTATTGCTAGGAATTCTGTGAAATGGTAGAGATGGTCATGTATCTGAGTAGTTCAGGTAAGTGGGTTTTATATATTTTAGAATTTTTTTATTCACCAAGTAGATACACTTTTCTATCTGAGTATTCTGAGGCAAAGTGACATTTGTAGTACACTTTAATAGGAGTTGGAAGAGTATTAAAAATCTAAAAAAGGGATTTAATGATTTAAATAAACATTCAGGAAACAATTTATGAGTATCTCTAGATTAGTATTTATTCATAGGATGCTTCCTTTTGGTACAACCAGCTCTTTTACCTTTAAAATGAATACGAGATCCTATTATCATAAGGGAATTAAGTGAAGGTTGGTCTCTGTGGGTGCTTGGATTTTTCACTAAAACAGTGCTTCTCAGCCTTGGCTGCCCATTGGAATTATCTGAGGAGCCTTAAAAAGTGCTGACGCCTGGGCCCTATCCCCAAAGATTCTGATGTAATTGGTCTGGGGTGCAGGCTTGGTTTTGGAATTTTTAAAGGAGTCTCATGTGCAGCCCATGCTGAGAAGCCCTGCTGTAGAACAGCAGCATAACCTGCGCTTGTTACACTTGAAGAGGGGGTGAAAGGGGCAGAAGAACAGCCTGCTAACCCTGGGAATAGTCCACAGGCCCACCTGGCCTCTGCTTTGTGAAGGAGGTTCAAGGACACATGGGATTGTGTGCACAGTAAAAGCACACAGACCCCCAGTTAGTAAACATTCAGGCAAGCACTGTTATATTAGTCAAATCAAGTCTGTTCATTGCTTAACTGATGTAATTGTATAATTGTCAGAAAGAAAGTCCTTGTAAGTGGTACTATTAGTAGCACCACAATGAGTGTTACTTAAGATGTGATCTGTGACCACTTTAATTGTTCTCCTTGTCTCTTGGAATTCTCCCCAGCCAGAGTTATTTTTAAAAATACAGGTTCATCTATTTAGCAAACATCAAATGCCAACCATGCACCAGACACTGTGGCAGCACCTCAGATACACCAGGGACTAAGTTGGGCATACTCCCCATCTTTGCATGACTAAGTTGGGCATACTCCCCATCTTTGCATGACTAGTCTACAGGGTAGACTGCAATAAATAGTAAAGTAGTGACAGTGTGGTGAGCCCTCCACAGAGCACCCACAGGGAGCTGTGGTAGAGATTAACAGGAGGGGCCCCCTGTAGGTATTTATCTGAGCTACTATTTGAGTAAAGACTTGAGGGATGAGAAGCTGCCCGCTGAGAGCAGAGTCAGGCAGAGGGAGCAGCGAATGCCAGGCCCTGGGCAGCCAGGCGCTTGGGCTGTTGGAGGACCTGGTGCGTTGGAAGCTCTGAGAGGGAAGAGGGGCAAAGGAGGACCAGAGAGGTGCAAGTGCCATCAGGCACAGCTGGTGGCTGGCACACCAAGTGTGCATTTTATTCCAGGTAGCTGTGGGGAGTTTGCATGTTTTCTGATTGCCTTGGATGGGTTCTCAGTAGGAGGTGACATGTTACAATGTACATTTTAAGGTCATTCTGTCTGCTGTGATTCCTGGAAGGAATTGGTGATCCTGCCAAACTATTGCTAATAGTCCTTCCTTTCTCACCTTTCAGCTTTTGCTCCTGCTGCTTCCTTTCCTTGGGCCACCATAGAGTGGCCCACAGATTGTGCTTAATGGTCAGTGATAGGCTTAGAGGCTGCAGGGTGCAGAAGTAAAATAAGGAAAAGCCCATTTGGCTTCGTAGCTTTTCTCGTGACTCACTACCTGGGGAAATCTGTGGGTGGGGCTCAGGTGCACCTAGCTTCACACCAGGCCTTGTCATGTTGGAGCACTAGACAGCTGGAGGCCTGGCTGGCCCTCGGGGCGGGGCAACCAGTGCCTTATCAGGTAGCCCCTTCCTACTGGTTACTCTTATTTTCTGCGTATATCATTTCCCTTTGAGAGCAGGGCCATTAATCCTCTACCTCTAAGTTTCCAGACTTTTTGGCCACCCTTTATAGGCAATTTGAAATATAATTCCAGACTTCTCATTATCAAGAGCTGTTGACAGAATGACTTTAATCTCCCTACTTCCTTCTATTTCTGATAAGAGAAGGCAGACTACTGGATAATAATAGGAACCTTTATTATTACAGCTGACCTGCCCCTCCCCCCATTTTTTGCTGAGGTATAATTTCCATGCAACCCTTTTAAAGTGTACAATTCAGCGGTTAGTATGAAGTTTTGCAACCATCACTGGTTTTTTTAAAATAAATTTATTTAAAAAAAAAGATGATGCAGGAAATATAACAGAAGCAGAAGTAAGATCTCACCCAACAATTTTTATGTAATGTTAAATATAGCATTACCATTAAAATATCTCCAGGGATTTTTAATCTTTTTTGTATAAATAACTTTCACTGCTCTTAAGTTTATGATCCCCTCTCCCAACTATTATTCTCAGGTCAAAAAAACAATGAAAGTCGTCTAACAAATAAACCCTTAACAGCCACCACGTGTGTCACTTTTATAAGAAAATTACTGAAATTTTGAGAAAAAATAAGGTAAAATAAACTGGAATCTAGAAAATTCATGACACAAAAACTAAACTGTGATCCCTTGTGTTTAAAAATCTTAAAAAATTGTTTTTAGCTCTGGTGGAGTTCCAGATCCACCCCATTTTTCTCTCACACATTATTATGAAGAGAAACTACTCCAAAATAAAAATAATAATGTCGTGCATACTAAATACAGTCTTTAAAATATGTTCCACATAAGAGCTCTTCCAAAGAAAAGCCACAAATTTCCTTTAATATGGAAAGTAAGAGTTCCAGGCAAGTATCTCTTTGTAACGG